TCTACAGGTTCAACACAATCCCCATCAAAATACCAATGATATTCTTCACAGAAATTGAAAAAACAATCCTAACATTCATATTGAACAACAAAAGATCCTGAACAGCCAAAGTAATCCTGAGAAAAAAAAGTAAAATAAAATAAATAAAGGATGAAAGCTGCTCAGGAGGAGAGGGACAATGGTGGAGACAGAACTTGTGCAGTGGGTACAAAGGGGCTACAGGAGGATTGCCTGCTCCAGGTCAAGTAGGAAAGGGACTTTTGCCAGTAGATGAGGAAGAAAGGACATCAGAGGGCTTAGCCATGGAAGGAAACAGAGTGTCTCCGTGTGCACTCTTGTTTCTTCTAGCCCACATCATACATCGGTGGGGAGGCCTTTGTGACTTCAGTGTACATGAAGGAGCTGGAGGTAAGTGCTCCTGCAGGCCAGCCTCCTGACCACCTCCCATGGTGGGAGCTGGGTGCCCTGCTGCCAGCTGAGATAGCCCCCACCCCCAGCCCTAATGATTGCTCTCTCTACCTCTCCCCCAACCCTCCTCCAACTCCTCCTTTCTGCATGCGCCTCAGAGTAGTTGCCCAGATCTGGCAATAGACTGGTACTCCAGCTGTGTAGAAAACACATTGAAGAAGCGTGATCCAGGAATTGGTAAGAGTCCAGTGGTGTCCCCTGATTCCACGCTACCAATCCTACGCTCCAATTTTCCTTGGAGCTCTGAAGAAAGGGGTTGGGGGTCCCTGGTGCCAAGGGAGAATGGGGTACTGGGGGGCCTAGGTCTCAGCAGGAGGGACCCCAGACTGTGTAGCATGGCTCTTTCTGTTGCTGCCCTGTCTGCCCACTGTCTCTTCTCCAGATACCCCTGCTTGAGTCATCACCACACTGCCCTGGGCTGTCCCCCTACTGGAAACACTGGGCTGACTGTTGTTAGAAGTCCTGTGTTCCCGCCCTGACTTAGTTCCTGCTTTGCTTTGTCTATGGTTTTGGACAAGCCACCTCTCCTACCTGGGCTTGGGTGTCCTGAGATAGAATTAGAGGGTGTCAAAGGTCCCTTTCAGCTCTACGAATGAAAGATATCTAGGCACACTTGAAACATCAGGAAGATAGGGAGCCTGTCTGTCCTTTTCATTTCTGGATCCCTGCTATTAAGAACAGTCCCTGTCCCATAGTGTGTAGTTCATGGTGAATACATGCACCCTTGTGAATCACAAGCTGGGAGAAGGGTAGTCTTTCCTTTCTCAGCTTTCATTTCTAGCAGCTTCTGTGGTTGTCCTTTAAGGAGAATCCAGATTCAGATGTTCAGCTCTGTAGCTGTGAGCAAAAACCAACAAAGGCCCAAATCCTCTTTCCTTGGAAGTTTGAGGAGAGTTTGTCAATTTGTGACCCATAGGGTCTGAGAGCTTCTCCTTGAAAATCCATTTCTGTCCCCCACCCACCACTCTGATCTGGGGAATGGAGCGGAGGAGAGACAACCTCAGTCACCTTCCTGTGGCTCTCCACACAGGAAAAAATGGCACCAGGAAACTCTGGATCAACAGGGAAGAGGAACATGATTTCTCTGTTTGCTCATTCCATGTCTGATGGGTTTGAAGAAAGACTCAGAGAGGCCACAGGCTTGTCTTGCTCACTCCCAACCTGGAGAAGAATCACGCCCTGCACCCCACCCTCAGCCCCACAAGGTCCCTGAGAATCTGGTCTCACTGGTGAGCCTGTCCGGGGCCATTGGTGGCATTCCGGGGTCCTGTCCATTATTGTTACATCCCTGCCTCCCCGGTAAGTGATGTTTCTTTTCTCTTCCTATAGCAGGAGAGTAGGTGTCAGCAGGTGAACTCCATGCAGGAACAATGCAGGTGAGTGGACTGTGTGGCAATGCTCATGTTCCCTAAAGAACCTTCCTTTCCCTCTCTCTCAGCACCGGTTTGGCTTCTCTCCCAAAGGCTCAGATTCCGACCACTGAAGACTTAATGTATGAAAAAGCACAGTTACAAAGAGCCCTTGCTGGGGCTCACCATGCAGTCTGGAATAAAGCAGGTGCAAATCTGGGCACCCTTCCTCCCTCACCTTGTGCCTTGGCAGGCCTTTGGGGGAGTCCTTTGGGCTCCATCTTGACCTCTGTCATTCCAAGGGAGTGTGAACATCTGGCAATCTGCCTGTGCTCACATGAGCAGCAAGTAAAGGAGCTGCAGTGGAATCTGACTGCTGTCTCTGCACAACAGAAGGAGGACGAGAGGGTCAGCCGAGCCACCTGCCCTTGTGCTTGCACCTCCACCCACAGGGAAAAATGGGCTTTTGAAGTACAGCTCCCTGCACCCTCATAACGTATGCTATCTGCTTCTGTAGAATTGCTTGCTTAACCTAAGTAATTCCATTTTACCCTTTGTCTGACCTGCAGACTACCCCCCACTTCTGCATGAGAAACTGTTGACCTTGTAGAAACAAAAGCTGTTGCATAGAAACAGGAGCCATACACAGTAAACTATTACATGAGAACAGGAACCATATACAGTGAACTATTACATGGGAACATACACAATGAAAAGTTGTATGCTTGATTGTTCTAACGGCTCATTCTTGGCTTCTGTGACCTAGCTCCCTAGCTTGCTTTGTGCACCTGGACAAACCTGTGTGCCAACTGGATGTAGTTCTTGCCTTTAAAACCCCTACAAGACCAAGGCTCGATGCCACTCTTCCTTGGTTGCTCCTTGGGAGATGGTCGCTGGCCAGCTGGAGTGAATAAACTGCCCTTTTCTGCACGAGTGGCATGTAAGTGCATTTCTTGCAGGAGGGTGCCTGACAACACTTAGAGAATTAGGTAGACCTGGATGTTCACATCCCAGCTATAAGTGATCTTAGCACTTAACCTCTAATACTTTGTATTTCATCTACAAAATGCAGATAATAATAGTAACTCCTTCCTATGGTTGGTTGTGAGGATTCAGGGGGTTGTTAGCATGGTGCCTGGTGACACACTCAGTACAGAGTCAAACAAGGTTGATGATAGTCATAACAATGACAACAAGACCCAATATCCCTGGGCCTCTGTCAGCCAGCTGTAAATCAGATCTCTTTCCCTGTCTCTTCAACACTTATTGAGTTCTTAGTAAAACCAATTGAGAACATGGGCTTGGAAATGCCTTGAAAGTGATATCAAGTGTGATTCAGAGGGAGGAAATGTTACTGCCAAATGATTACTGTAGGTGTTGGTGTTAGTGTGCCCCAACTACACCTTCTCCCTGCTGAATCCTGACTTCACCTTTCTGTATTTGCAGTCTTACCATGATTTGATGAAAGAATGAGATGCTCTCCACCTGCACTTGGAGTACAGTAGGAGGGGGAAGGTGGATGGCAGGTTTGGGGGACCTCAGCCTGGGTGATGTGGTGGGAGATGGGAGGGGTGCAGGTGAGCATGACAAGGTGGATGCACAGGTTTGGAAATGTGCAGAGCCAAGCTCTGGCCCCAACTGTGCCAGTGACTTATGTGTGGCCTCAGGCAATTCATGTCCACTCTCTGGAAGGGCACTTGTGACTCTTGATTCCTGGGGTCCCCTTCCCATGCCATGGTCCTCTGGTTGTGTGTCAAAATCAGTATGTTGATCACCAAATTGGTCCTTTCTCTTCCTTGTTCTTTCTATTCTCCATCACCTCTGGCCATAAGAACAACTATGAGGACCTCAAGTGTCAGTAGTCCCAACTAAAGGGGAAGCTTCGGGTCCTTGTGATGGAGAAGGCAGCTTTGCAGCTCCAGATGAAAAAGCTCAAGATATCCAAGCTCCTGCCACAACAAGTGAGTGGCTGCAGAGGAGGGTTTTGGTTTTATGGGGGTAGGGGTCAAGAGCAAGGTGGCAGCCTGTCCATTCTGCAGCTGCTCCCTCTGCGGCTCACTCCCCTGTGCTCTGGGCAGGCCCATGCTTTGAGGGAGAAGCATGGCCTGAGTCAGGTCCAGGAGCCAGGGACCTGCTTGGCCGATGTAAGCAAGTGGATTGATAAGCTGGGGCTGGGGTGGTCTGGGAGAAGGCGGTGGGGGGTGGAAGAAAGGTGTGTGCCAGCAGATGACAAGTCTGCTCATCTGAGCCTCAGTGTCCCTGTCTGCAAAGGGGTGGAGTGTCCATTGTCAGCCACCCACAGTTGTCTTGAGCACAAGAATGTGAAGAACTCTATTTGAAAGTGGTTTGAATGATTGACCATCATAGGAAGCCATGGTCTGGGGCAAGGATCCTGAATTAGGAGTTGTGGATCAAGAAGAGGGTGTTTTGCAACTCCAGAGGCCAGAGGCGCTTATAATCCAATTCCTTTTTCAGCTGAACCTCCACTCTTGGAGCCTCCAGCAGGGACCAGCAAGGAAGAATGGTGGCTGCAGGTTGAGGCTGAGCAGCTGGAAAGTCTGGAGGGTCAGCTCCAGGCTCAAGTAAAGTACAAGAAGGGTCTGAGCCACCTGAACTGGGAGTAGGAGGAGTGGCTGCTGGAGCTGGAGTGAGCTGTTGGGCTCTGAGGCAAGCAGCACAGGCAGGTGCTGGAGGGCACACAGCATGACCATGCCACCACCAGCTGTGTGCTGTCCCAGGCCCGTGAGCTCTAGGAGCAGCTGTAAAAGCTATAGACTGGCTTCCTCAGGCTGGTGTGCCACCCGCCCTGCCAGCCTGCCCTCCACCCTCAACCCCTGGGCCTTTGTTTCCCCACCAGTAAAATGAGGTGATGGATACCTCACATGAAATGGTACCTGAAAAGGCACCCTGTGAGCCAGTGCCTTGTGTCCCCTTCCCTGTGCCATGGGTCTCCAGCTGCATCAGGTGGCCACCATTTGCTTGTCTCCATCCAGACCAATTAGAACATGGAGGTCACCAGTGCACTGCACTTGGGGCAGCATGTTAAGATGGAGCTGGCTGTGAAATTCATCCAGAAAAGAAAAAAAAAAAAAACAAAATAAGAAAAAAAAAAAAAAGGAGAGGAAAACCTTAAGAAGAAGGAAAAAATACCAAGATGAAAGAGAAAGCACCAAAAGGAGAAAGCACTCAAGAGGTGAAAATGCCCAAAAGAAGAAGAAAACACCCAACATAGGAAGAAAACAACCAAAAAAGGAAGAAAATGCCAAGCAGAAGAAAACACACAAAATAGGAAGAAAACACTCCGTACAGGAAGAAAACATCCCCCAAATGTAGAAAACACTGCAAAGAAGTAGAAAACACCCACAACAAGAAGAAAACACCCCCAAAAGGAAAACCTCAATGAAAAGAAGACCCCAACATAAAGAAGAAAACCCTTCAAAAGAAAATACCCCCAAAGTTAACAGCCACATCAAAGAGAACCCTAAGAGAAGGAAGAAAAATACCTCCAAAATAAAACCCCAACAAAAAGCAGAACCCCTCCAAAAAGAACAAAACCCCACAAAAGAAGAAACCCCAACAAAAAGAAAACCCCAATGATAAGAAAACCACAATGAAAAGAAAACCCCTCAGAAAAGATAAGGGATACTCAACCTGTAGCAGGCTGATTACATCCTACAGAAGAGAGGAAAAAATAGTATTCTATTTTGAAAACACACTAACAATATGAAATCATCCCTGTACATATCAAAATAGCTTGATACAGAGAATTGTTTCTAGATAATTTACCAATGATCAAATCAACAACAAATAATGACTTTTGTGTCTGTGTAACATACATCCACACACACAAATACATATCTTCTTTTGAATATATATGTCCTCTTTTGATGACATTATAGCTCTTAACCAAAATAAAAAATAACTGCCATTGGATGGGAAACAGAAGGAATGTACAGGAGTCAAAGGAATAAAGATGCAATAAGTACAAAAAACCTATAAAATATGTTGTCATTCCATATTTATGTGTTGCTATTTTTATAGACATGCTAGTTATAGAACATAAACATAGTTAAAGAATAAATATTTGAAAGTGATTGGAGGATTTTTTTAAATACCATAACTTATTTTAGGTTTAATTCAAAGATAAAGAATACAGACAATTATATGTTCTCCTTGTCATTTCCTCTACTGCAATATAAGCTCCAGTATGGCACAGATTACCACCTTCTTTTATTCACTGCTGTTAACCAAATACATAAAACAGTACCAGGACATAGTAGGTTACTCAACAAATATTTGTTGACTGAAGAAATGAGTCAATGAATGAATTAATAACTATTCAAAGAAATTTATTTGGTTAATCCACTTGAAAATTACTACCTTCAATTTTCCAATAAGCTACAGCCACACTTGATGAACCACAAGTGGCAGCATTCAGTGGCTCTGCTAACATTCTCAGCTGATATCTCTTTGTTCTTTATTTTTGTTAACACTGCATGTCTATTTCTCTTTCTTACCAAAAGGTAGGGTCTTAGAGAAATCATCCAAGTTTACAGAATAGTTTCCCAGATGCCTCCTGGGCTTGAAAGTAGAAAAAGGCAAGGTCTATAAAAAAGTGAGGTGAGTAAAATATGTTCAGTGTTTCTTCTGATATTACGGTAGTTCATCCTTCTAACAGGTTAATTGTGGTAAGCTGTTCAGGTCCAGAGCTCAGTTCTGCAGCAATTGGATTCTCCGCTGTTGATACGCAAGAGAGAGGATGGAGATGGGTATGCAGTATTAATTTTTTAAAATAGCATATTGTGCAATTATATATTCTTTTCAAACAAGAAAGTAAAACATGTTTTTTGTAAAATATAGAGAATTAGAAAAAAAGAATATAAAAATTGCAAAATGTACACTTTCTATTATATATCAACCACATTAAATACATAATGTCTTTCCAAGCTTTCTTTCCTTGAAAAATATTATTGAAAAAGTTATTTTTTCTTGCTCATATACTGCTACAGACAGTTTTTCCCCCTTTCCCAAGGTAGGATTTTGTGACTTCTGGTATAGTGCTAATTGGTTCTATTTACTGGAACTCTCACAGAGTGGAATCATATCTGTTAATTGTGTTTTTTATATACATGCAACGGATGCATTTTCTCTAAAATATCAAACAAGGAAAAAGTGACAGGGAGATTTTTCTTTCATACTAGTGCAACTTCCTTTGTCTACCCGTCCTTCTGCTTGCAAGTGGTTTACGGGTATTTAGAAGAAAAAAAAAAAAAAAAAAAAAAAACCTTAGCAAAAACCATTTCTTTTGCCCTAATTTTGTATTTTATTAATTTCTTTTTCTACCAGTACAAAAAATTTCAGGTTGATAATCTTTAGTATCAAAGAATGAAGTATAGGTTTGAGTATATCGACCTTCTTTACTTTCAAAATAATTTTTAGAAATCTGATGTTTTATTTTTAAAGCAAAATTCATATGCTTTAAGGGTATGAGAGAGAGAGAAGGAGAGAAAGAGAGACAAAAGACAAAGAGAAACAAAATATTTCATCCTCTTGATGACATTGTCACTA